TCATGCATATAACCTTCACATTGTTGAATTAATAGATCAACATCGACGGATGAATTCATATCTAAAACAATTGAATTTTTTTGCAATATCTTATCCATGAAAGAAACATATACATTGATTTTGTTCGTATTTTTTATCTTCATCTTTTCTCTATTTACATAGATGATTGAAAGAATATACCTAATTGGTTGAATAGATAACAAGAAAAAAGAAATTTTTTGAAGTTTTATCGTCGATGATGACGATGATTTATCGATGGTGAAGAATGACGTTCTTTTGATGAAGAATGATTTTCATGCCGAGAAGATGATCGATGGTGATGATGGTGATGATGATGATGATCAGTTTTTTCTCTATAGAAATAAGGTTTTTTTTAAATTTGTTTTCTTTAAAAAGCCTAACCTTGATGACTCTCGTTGTTTTGTATTTCTATCACGATGATGCTGATGATTTGATGATGGTGAATGATGTCGTTTAGATTTTTCATCTTTTGATTTAGATCGATCCTATCATGAAAAATTTCTTCTAGAAACAAAATTATAAAAGAAATTACTCGTTTTCGATTTGAAGTTTCTTGTTTTTCTGTAGTCCGAGTTCGTTCTTTTTCAACCATTTGATTTTTACGTTGCTAAAATCATTTTGAAAGATTAAAAATTTCCATAATAGATTTTATCAAAATTCCCGAATATATGGGAAGATAGTCCGGCATCTGATCTTTCATAAACAATACAAGTTTTTCCTAGATTTCTGTCACTCCCTATTCGAAAAATAAATGGTGTTTTCTCGATCCAGACTTGTGTGAAAGAGCGCGTCGAAATCCAAGGCGCCACAGAGTTCAATTTTTAATTAAGCTTTATTTTTTATTATATATACAGATATTTACGTAACTAGACACCCATTTTTGGCGCTTTTCTGAGTCATGGACTTTGTAGTGATTTTATCATAGCCTCTTCATTTCCGTTCTAACATACTCTAGAATTTTCATGTGATCTAAATATACTTAATCCGGAAATCGGTTTCTAAGGGGTAGGAGCCTTAAGATATTTCTAATCTATTGACTTATTGTGGTTTCAAATAGCAGAGAAAATTCATCTCGCATTTTATATAGTTTAAAATCATCTTTTAACTTAAATATTTTATACATATGTTCATCATTTATAAAGGCTAATTTGATTAAGATAATAACTGTAATTTTAATATGACAGAAAATGCTATCTATCAAAAGTATTATTCATAGCATAAAAAAGAATGTCTAATTTTGAATTCTAGTTACAAATCTATGAATAAACTTGATCAGTAACGAACTTATAAACATCCTGTGAAATATAACATAAGAATTAATATAAACTTACAATAATTTCTTCAAGTGATGCTTTAATTTTTGCGTAACCAGCATGTTGTTTTCCACTATTATGTTCATCCAGACGACTTTGTATATCGCCAATAATTAGAAATGAACCACAAACGGTACATACTTCCATTGCTTTATTCATATTTGCATTAGCTTGTTCTTCAGCTAATTGCTGAAAAGAGAAAAAAAATTCTTTAAAAAAAACAAGAATCTATATGAAAGTATTTTTAACAAACTAATTCAAGTTTTTTCTTTTCTTCTCTCATTTCTTCACATTCATTTAATACTTGTTGAGCTTCATCAATTCGACAATCATTTCCCAAACATTCAGATTTTAATACATGCGTTGTAATTTTTTCTTCAAGCTCTTTAATTTTAGTTATAGTTTCATTCTAAATCATAAATTTTTATAATTCAAAATAAATAGAATAATAAACATGTATAGATTACCTTAAGACTATGTGGATCATTTTCAGCATTTGGATCACCCTGAGTTATACGAAGACGTTCTTGTCCACGTTTAATACGTCGTTCAACATCAGATAGTAACGATTTAAAATAACGTTCTATATAAAAGAAGAAAAACAACAACAATATGTTATGAAATAAAGAAAAAAACGTTTTTTTTACCATATTCATCTTCATAACCAAGTTTTCCATAACGCGAACTGTTTTCATAACTATAGATAAATTTTAATTATATTTCTAATATAATCTATTATCTAACGTACTCTTGTCGAAGACTAAAATCATGAATTTTATCACAGGCTCCTAAAATGAAAAGAGAAAATTTAAGATAAAAACAATTCGTTTAAAATTTAACCTAAATCTTGTCGAGTATTGGCAAATAAATCATGTGGACAGAAATCAACAAGCATATATTTACAAACCTAGAAAAATAAAACACATGTTTATATATATGTAAAATTATTATATAGAATATTTATACATTTGGATCATCAAAACGAAGTTTTTGAACTTTTTCACCTTTTGCTGCATTACGACCTTTACCCATTAATTCATCTAATAATGATTGCTGTGCAGCTAAAGCCATTTAATAAAAAAATATTGCAAGAGGATTACTCAAAATCTGAAATCTTATTTTGACTTATTTTTTTCCTCTTTCCTGTTCTTTACAACAACAACGAAAAGTTTGCATGAGTGAGCTATCCATCCATAAATCAACCATTTTATTCAACAAATCATATAGACTGTTTTTTATAGAGTACAGATGGCGTTTATTTACAAGAACAAGAATGTTTGCGAGAAGCATTGGAATTATTTACAAATGATGTCAAAGTAACAGTATGGATTTTTCGTCTAATCTGTTTCGTATTTGAATGTGATTTTTAAATGGGAATTTATTAATTAGTCAATATAATAAATGAAATGGTCAGTATATATATTGATTGGTCAGTTTATTTTGTACAAATGGGAATAGAAAATACTTTTTGTCAGTGTAAAATATACTTTGGTAAAAGAAAGAAAAATGTAATGAAAAAATAATAAGAAACCTGCTGAAATACTGAATAAGAAATTCATAAATTAGTGCTAATTAAGAGAACGAACATTAAATTATTGCCCCACTAGAGCTGTTTTAGCTTTTGCTGGTGGTGATTTGTGATATATTAACCATACACTCATACCGACAACGTGTTTACATATATAGTTTTAAAGAAAATTCGAATAGTTACATTTTGGGTATGTCGGTGGTGGTGTGAGTAGAATACAGTGTCACACCCATGTAATGACCACTTAAATGGTAGCCGTTTAAAATGTACACATATGCTCATGATATAACTGATACAAGTCATGATCATGATGCAGTCTTACGTGCAAAAATAATGTATATATTAATGGTGTCTAAATAAGAAATAACTGTACATATGAATGTTCATAATGATAGAATACCTCATTACTGATTTCTTGAAGCAGTCTCAGCTATATATTAGGAAAAATATAGTTTTTTCATTAGTAATAGCATATATATGATATCAATGATCTATTATTATTGAAGTTTTATATCTCAACCACGATCGATAGCTATCAAGTCTTTTCTTATGATCACTTTGTTAGAATAATTCACATCCTAGTCCTGTTAAAATTTAATTTATGATCAACTAAAATGATAGATGAATATTATTAACTATGATATCTTCGTTCTCACCCTTTAATCTGTCATAAATTACTTCAACAAAATAATTATAGAAAAAAACTTAATAGCTATCGTTTCTGATTGTATCTCAAGTCTATTTACATTCTGCTAATCTTCCAAATGTCGACATTCTATATGAATGGTACCATTGTGTATATATTCATTTAGAATTTTAAAGCTTACCATATGAGATACTTGTTTAACAACTAACTTTAATACTTCAAGATCTATTAATGAGCGAAATTTTTTTATAGATTGAGCTATTTGAAATTGTGAAACTTACAATGCTAAATACTCATTTTTTTGTATTATCAGATTGTATCTCTATATACAAAGTTCATTATATAGACTTTGAAATAATGTAATATACCATATTATTTATTCCGATTAATTGTAATTAAATATTTTTTGTAGATAGATGACACTATTGTTTCTAGATCAAATGATAATAGAATTAAAATTTTAATATCGAACTTTGGTTAAATTATAAAATATAATCAACAGCTGGTTGAATTAGAGAAAGATATCATGATTCATCGATCATATGTAGATCGATCGAAATGAACACGTGAAAATGAAGGAAAAAGATATATGATGATATACAAATCAACGGTTAACTTTTTCTTTGTTAAATATTTCGATTAAAAGGATTAGATTAAATTTTTTCCTAATGGAATCTCCATCTCATTTTACATCAGAGATGAACCAATCTCCTCCTCAAGGTTAGTATAATCTCATTAGGATTTTTTCATATAAAGTTAAATATGTAAATACAGAAAAATCCGTTCATAATAATTATGTTAATCATAGACAATATTTAATCGAAGAGATTTTCTCATATGTATACTAAAAATTTAAAAGACATGCTTTATTTTTTCTATTTTAGTTACTTCATCTAATCCTGGATATATAACACCACCTCGATCTAATCCTTCGCTTTCTCAACATTTTCATCAACCGAAACTTTTAACCAGTGCTGAATTAAAACGACGTTTTTCTCCGATTCATTCATCAAATAAAAAACGTCGACATAATCTTATACGAAAATATGATTGTATTGTACCATACGAACGAGATCTTAATAGACCGATTATATTACAAAAATTATATGATAATAAAAATCAGTTATCTCCAACATTAGTAGATCAAGATGATTATATAATTCCAATAACGTATTTAAATTCTTCCAGTATATCATCAAAATTAATTCATCCACGACCGAGTCATGATTGTTTAATGTCAAATTCTTGTAAAATTGAACAAGAAAATTTCTTTCCTATATCCGAAACAGTAATGAAAGAAAAATTCAAAATATTATTACAAAAAAAATGATTTTTTCTATTAATCTTCTTTGTTTATTATGATAGATTTATCTAGATGATTTCACGCATGTGTGTGTTTATTTTGTTCTATTAGATTTTTTTTCTTTATTTTTGTCATGCTTATATTTCTATAAAAAACAAAACAAACAAAAAACTAATATTCGATTGAATTCTATTTTGTTAAGATTTTCGAAAGTAATGACAAAATAAAACGGAAAGGAATCATGAAAATTCGACGAATTTTAAAGGATCGAAAAAAAATAAATTTTATAATAAGTGCAACGGTAGAAAACCATAATAAATTTTGTAGACGTTTTAATCTGAAAAAAATATAGAAATTCCAACAAAGATAGAACAAAAAACTAAATTTTACCGTTGATTTCGTTTTTGACATTTTGGCATATGAGCGAGATCTTCACGAAGTATATATTGTTTAGCACCCAAACAATAATGAAACCAATATTGATCCCAATCCATGTCTTTTAAATCAAAATTAAAAATCTAAATGAAAAGAAAGTAAAAATTTTCTTAGTGTTTCAATAAAATCGAACGTATAAAATGATAGGCGATAATCTAAAGTTATTCTCTACTGTATTTGAATCTAGTTAACCGTAAATAGAAATGTATACAACCAACGCCCAACCGGCTATCTCTGAATATATTATTTCATGAAACGCGATATTAAAGGATTGATGAAGTCTCAGAGATGGGCAACCCCAACCCTGGAGTTAGAGTTAACTTCGGAGTTGACAGCGCAAACGTCGGAGTTGGAGTGGAGCTGTGAAAAACGAGATGGAGTTGGAGCTGATGCTTTTTTCAACTCTGATTCAACTCCGACGGATCTCATGACATGCAAGAAAACAGCAAAAATATCTATACAGAGATGAGCAACTTCAACTCCAGGGTTGACGCATTTTTTATCTGGAGTAGAGCCGTAAAAAATCGGTGGAGTTGGAGTAGAGTTGTGAACAACGAGATGGAGTTGAAATTGCTTACCCCCCCCCCCCCCTTCGCCGGAGTTGCCCATCTCTGTGAAGTATATAGGTTACGCATTTGAATTTCCTCCACCACCTACAGATGTGACATAGATTATTAATGATATGATCAAAGCAGCATTATAAATCATAACCGACACCATTGGACTTTTTCATATATAATATAAATAAGCAGCTCAATTATGTTAGTAGCTGTTAATTTCTATATTCAATTAATGAATGTCATGTTTTATCTCAGCTTTTTTCCTACCGCGAGAATAAATCCCATACGTTGTAATACATTGATCACAAGGACCATTTCTCCGGATAAATATCATCTTCATTTCATTAGTTTTGTATTTTATATTCATTTATTTGCTGAATTTTTATCATTATTAGATATTATTTCAATATAACTTACTTTTTGATCAGTATCATTCATTTCTTGTTGAAGACCAAGGCTATTATCATTCGGAAAAGACCATGAATGTGAGGTAAAAAAATCCAATGTTCGTACACTCTTATAAATTCTATCGCATAATTTTAAAAACCTAAAATAGGAAATCTATGAAATAGAATTATTATATTTATATATATTCTTACATTGGTTTTCGACCAGCGATACGCATGGCACAATCAAGCACAAAAGCTGGGAAGACTTCTTGAAATAATCGAAGATAAAAATATCGAAATCTAGAGAAATAAAACGAATGAAATTTCCAGAAATTCTTTTTTTGTTATTCATCTATTTACCGATTGGAAGTAAATGTTAAATTTGGAAATGTAATTGCATTTTCCATACATATTGTATCAAGATGACGCAAACCAATTTCAGTAATTTTACCCCATGTCAATGCACCTGCATGCCAACTACAACAATGATATACAGGAATATCTTTTGGCCTAAACAAAATAATACAAAATAGTATAATAAATAAAATCATCAATATTTACTGTTTCATTGCTGTATGCCATGCTATAGCAATCATCATATTGACACAAACATCAACAGGAACAATATCAGCTACTGCTGTACTATTTCCAAACATTATACGAAACATGCCTTTACCAGTCTAAATATAATCGAATATTTTTTCTATTTATTACTTCAAATATTTCTTACTGCAACAATCATTCCACTCGGGCCATTGTAATTATCAATCCATCCCTATTACAGAAAAGTTTAAAACCTATCTCTATAATATTGTTTTATAAATTTTACTGGCATTGGTTCTCGCCATGATGACCCGACAATCGATGGTCGTATAATCGCTAATGGAAGATCTTTCGATTCTTGAGATATAACGTATTCAGCAAGTGCTTTAGTAAATGTATATGTATTAGGTCTATCATTAATAATCTTCTTAGTTATAGTGTCAAATACTTGATCATCCATCCATTCACTAGCATCTAATAATTTTGATGGATGAATTGGGGGTGGATAGATCATTTCAGCAACATCACTGCGATTACAATTAGCATAAGCTGTTGATACATGAACAATAGACTAAAAGATTTTATATGTGTATATATATAGATTTGTATTGTTTGTTTTATAGTACTTGTATTTTTTTCAGTTTATGACATAACGCAAGTAGTTTTTTAACTGATGCAACATTCATTTGAACAGCTAATCTGAAGAAAGAAAGAAAGAAAAATGTTTATTTATAATGATATTTATATTTTATACCGAAGTGGTTCATGAAAACGAACCGTTGCTGCTGAATGAAAAATAACATGACAATTTTCGATTAATGTAGTTTCATCTGCGGAACTAAGGCCAAAATTTGGATCAAGTATATCCCCTTGCATAGGAATAATTTTTTGTTCGAAATTTGGATGAACAGATCGAGCATGGTTAAATAACTATAATTATTATATAATTAAAAACAAAAATTCTTTTATCTTTTTTTTGAAACTTACAGTCCCAGATACTAATTCTTTTACACGTTCAGTTACATCATGACCTCGTTTTGGTCGAACAAGAAGATATATATTTTCGATGTCTTCATTTATTTCGGAAGAAACAAAATTTAATCAAATAGTTCATATTTCGTTTTTTTTCCTACCTGGGCATGATCGAACAAGTTTTTCAACAAGCTGTTTGCCGATAAATCCCGTAGCACCAGTAATAAAGATAGATTTTTGTTTGAAAAAATCAGCAATTGCGCTTGATTCTATACTTGCTGACATGCTGTTATTAATCTGAATGATTAAAGAAAAAAAAACATCTATTATATAATTTTAATTTTT